CACACATGCGCCATTTTCCATTATTCTTTTTAACGAGTACAACATTGGACAGCCAGGTTGAATACCGGGTTTCCGAAATAAAATTTGCCTCTAAGAGGTCTTTTACAGCTTGTTCGGCCGCTGCCGATTTTTCGGGGGATTGGCGACGCCGGCGTTATACAACGGCCTTTGCGGTCGGGTTGATGGACAGCTGGTGGCAGGCGACCTCGGGGTCGAGCCCCGACATTTCCGCGGCGCTCCAGGCGAAAAGGTCGGCATTCTCGCGGAGGCAGGCTTGGAGCTGACGTTTCGCGAGGTCTGGGAGTCTGGCGCCTATCCTCACGGTTCTGCTCGTGTCTTCCCCGAGGGGGACGAGTTCGAATTCTCCGTCCGGGATGGGGCGCGCTGGGTGTGAGGGCTGCCCGTTGACTTCGTCGGTCTTTGTTTCGTGGTCTAGCTCGTCTGTGAAGCGACTGTCGAGATCAACGGATCCGACCAGCTCTGTTGGTTCGCCCTTTGGCGTTGTGCTTGACGTTTTCTTCTTGGTCGCTGGAGCGATGGAGTCTAGGCCTTTCAACGCGGCTTCGAAACATCTTCGGGCGGCCTCGATGTCTCCGTTGAGGGTCACCACGGCCCCCCTTCTTGTGTAGTATTTCATCTTCAGGTGGACGGTGGAGGGTACCGCGGTGAGTTCTGCTATCGTCGTCCTGCCCGGGATGCAGTTATAGAGGGATGGGCATTCGATGACTAAGAAACGGATGCTGATGTCCCTAGCCGTTTCGTCTTCTCCGAAGGTGACTTTCAATTCCATGTATCCCCAAGGTCTCGTTGTCGTCCCGTTGAACCCCTGAAGGTCGGAGCCTACGTAGGGAGAAAGGTTGGATTCGTCGAGCTGGAGAGTTGTGAACAGGTGTGAGTACATGATGTCAACCGAGCTCCCGTCGTCGACGAGGAGGCGCCTGACGTCGAAGTTTGCCATTCGGGCACGTATGAGTAGGGGTATGTTGGAATTGGGGGATCCTCCGGGGAGTTCCTCGAGATAGAATGTGATCGGGTTGGAGCGGCCTCGGAAGTTATCGAGCGTGCTCATTTTGCCGGAGTTGTTCGCGATGAGTTCGTCGAATTTTCTTTTCACGGATCCGATGGATAGACTCCTCGTGGCTCCATCAGAGATGACCATGGCTCTGGGGAAGTATTCCCACCGGCTGGTTGGTCGGATTGGCTCGTCGATTAGGTCGGTCCTTTCGGGGAGACCAAATTCTCTGCCAGCAAACCAATCCTCGGGGAGGCTGACACACAATGCGACCTGGAGTATGCTGTTGTCCTCTGGAGATGGAAGTTCCTCGACTTTCTTGGCTTCTAGAGCCTCTTGCCTAGGTGGTTCGCCTCCTCGGGTGTATCTCTTCAGGTGACCGTCTTTGATCAGAATTTCGATCGCATCCTTGAGATGGATGCAGTCTTCTGTCACGTGCTCGTGGCTCCTGTGAAATCAGCAATATTTCAATTTGTCCACGTTCGGTTTGGGGGGTGTCGGTCGCGGGAAACAGACACCTCCCTGTACGAATTCTGTTTTAGCGCATTCGGCCAGTATGCGCTCGCGTGAAGCGACCAAGGCTGTGTACTCTGTGAATCTGTCGGTCGGGCCGCGCGGTTCGCGTTGTTCGCGGGGTTCGCGGGGGCGATCTTCTCGACGGCGATCTCCTCCTCGTCGATGGCTCGAGGCTCCGTCGTCTCGGTGCCCGCGGGGGGCCTCCCTGTCTCGGGTGTCGCGAGCGGAGTTGGCCGCCTGTGTTTCCTCGAATCGGATGTAATGTGCGGCTCTGTCGAGGAAATCTTGGAGGGATGTTGGTCGGTGCATGCCTAAGGCCTCGTAGAACTTGGAGTCGTGGCGCAGACCTTGTTCCATCAAGTAGCGTTTCATCTCGTCGGACTTCGTCACCTGCACTGCTTCTCGAGTGAACCTTTCGATGTACTTTCGGAGAGGTTCGTCGGGATCCTGGATGATCGCCCTGAGGACTGCTTCTGTCTTCGGGTGGCGTCGGGACGCCGTGAAGTGTTTGGAGAACAGGTCATTCAAGACCCTCCATGACGTAACTGACTTGGGCTCCAAACTTTTATACCAGATCATAGCGCCTTTCCTCAGCGTCGTCGGGAAGAGTCTGCACTTGATAGCTCCCCGGACGTTTCGGTAGTCGAGCATGGCCTCGATGTCTTCTAGGTGATCGTCTGGGTCGGAGGTGCCATCGTATGTCGACAGCGTCGGTGGTTTCTCCATCCCTTGGGGTATGGGGGCAGCCATGATTTCCCGGGACAACGGGGTGCGGTAATCGTCCTCGTCGCTGTGCGCCGGGGATCGGTGGGGAGATGAGCCGTTCAAGGTAGGCCCCTGGTTTCGGGTTCTCGACCTCCTGCCTGAGTTCTCGCCTCGGGGGTCTTCGGTCGGGATCGCCGCGGCGTTTTGGTTCCTCCCGCGAACGTGCCTTGCTGGGGATCTGGTGCGTTCTCGTGCCACCTGCGTGCGGTGCCTCTCCAGCCGCGGCCGGCGGTTTCTGGGTCGAGGTGAGGGGCTCCTCGAACCTCCGTTCTGGTCTTCCCGCGGGGGGTACCTCGGAGGACCGATGCGTTCTAATGCCCCAATTCACGCATTTTGTTGGAACAGCAGCTGGTTCGTCTGGTTGATGGCCGTAAAGAGAGCGGCCACCGTTGGGTCCGCTCCCGCCGGGATGGGATCGGGATGGAATGCTGGCGGGCTCGGGGTCCGGTGGTCGACCTGAAGGGGCCGCTCCGCGGATGACGGCGAAGCAGTTTGGCCGTCCCTTTCGTCGGTTTCCGCCGGACGCGTCGTTCCTGTCTGCTTGTTCCCATTGGTGGCGACGTTGAGCACGAGGTCGTGCAGAGTGCCGTCGCGGTGTGGACTAGCCATGATCGTGGAGGTTTGGTGAAACTTTTGGTTTTCTGCTCGGAGTAACGGGGAAGTTTCAAGTTTCCCACAGACGGCGCCACTGATCTGACCTGATCAGGAGGGGATCACGGGCTGGCCACACGCTGTTGGACTGCTACCTGTTCACCGGTGATGAGGAGGAGAAGGGGGTGTACCTGCAAGACACTCCGATGCCAAAGTAAGAAGTTGGGCAGAGTGAGAGCAAAGTACAGAAAGGGCAAGATGTGAATTACCTGACCCTCTTGAGGAAGAGGGTATTTATAGAGAGACCCCAGCGCTGGGCCAACGGTCATTTGAGGTGGGCTGGATGACCAGGCCCAACCCTAATGACTGCTAGGGCTTACGTGGCGTAGTGAAGACCGGGACGTGGTTTTCGCCCTAGTCCAACTGCTCCTAGATCTCCGGAAAGTGGGTTTGACCTGCTCTTTCGGAGGTGGGCAGTTGGTTGATGACGTGTCCCCGCGGAGGGGAGCACGTGGAGAACGTGCGCCGTGGCACGTTGTTCTTCCCACGGAGGGGAGCTCGGGAGAGACTCCGGAGCGCGTTGTTCTCCCCGCGGAGGGGAGCTCGGGAGAGACCCCGGAGCGCGTTGTTCTCCCCGCGGAGGGGAGAAGCCACGGTCGTGTTCTGATGCCCCGGGGCCTGTTCTGTCCGGCTGGTAAGAGGGGACGACGAGATGCTGTTGGACGCGCTGCTTGCGTCTGGTGGCGCGCTCTGCTCGTCCTGCGGGACGCACGTGCCCGGCGTGACCGATTCGCCCCGTTGGGCCGTACGTGGTATTGGGCCTGCCGAGGTCGGGCCCATACCGGAACAGTACCTTTATCGTTCTTGTAGAATTAACTTTGGGGATGTTTTGGTTTTTAAACAATTTTACTAAGTCTTATTTTAATTTGTCCCTACGAAAGTGGGACGGACAGTGAAAACATTGGGTAAGATCGAAAGACGTCTGGTACAAACAATTTAAATTGTTAAGTTCTTAATTAATAAATTCTATGATAGTCTTTTATTAATTAACCAGGGAAGTCTAAGGTTTTTAGCAAGTTGATTTTAAAACTATTCACAAACGCGCACGTCTATAGGTTTAGGATCTGGTACTTAAGTGAAGGTTTAAGAATCCTTTTCAAATTAAATTTTCCAATCAAAAATCATTTTTCTATTTAGTAAAGAGTGTAATTTCTTAAAGATAGGTTTACTACTTTAACGCGCTAAGCATCTACCATGAGTGACGATGGAAGGTATAAATTAAAGAGTAAGTTCGACTCTATGTGCGTGAAAGCAACGATTCCCGTTAAATTGATTCTTTTCGAAATAGAAAATATTTCCCGTTGAAAATTCCTTTTTAAAAACAATAAGAATACGGTTAACTAAAAGATCCTCACATCTCCGCATTGCTTGTCCAATTTTATTTAGTTCTTATTTTAGCATATTTTTTTATTATTATTATTATATCATTCAAATTCTTTATTGCTCGCCTTAAATAAACGTCGTAGCAATCAGTAACGATAAATTTTTGACTATTGATCTTTGTGAGATCGATATCTTTCAAAACTACACGATAGGTTGTGCGTTTGCAGTTAGATTTCACACACGATCACTTGGATAGGTGGCTCCCAAGAGTGTTGACTTTGATCTATCTTGGTATCCTTTTTAATCTTCTGAGCTAGATACCAATCATTCCAACTATAGAATGCCTATAAATTCAAATTATTAGCTTGCAAATTTTTATTATGACAAATCCAATTGTTCCTATAGTTTCAAAGTATTCATAACATCGTAACCACCCTACCTGTTATCCTACGATCCTCCTTACTACAAATATCATTGATAATCGCCTTTGTTTCAGTAAAATTATACATCCTAGAGTCAATAGCTGAGTTTAGACTCGCTCCATTCCAACACTCTGAGGTTTCAACGCAACCAAAATATGTCAATTGTCCTCTACTTTTCTATCACAAAGCTGACCTACAACAGGACAAGGAACATGGTGTTGGCTAAGTCTCAATGTAAGGAGAAAATCACGACAAATCCTTCTTAATAGATGTTTCACCTTAGGTGGTGCATTAATACTCCACAAGCAACTTCATTCCCCCTCTACATTAAGATCCTTCCTCTCCCTAAGCTCACCCTTCAAAATCTTGTATCCTATTTTAACACTATATATCCCACTTTGTTCCTCCTTCCAAACCAAACCATCCTCACCCACTTCCTCCAACAAAGGGACTTCCAAAATAGCCTTAGCAACATCCCGTGTGAAAAGGTGTTTAATTTTATATTTATCCCATATTTTAACACTATTAAGCATTAGATCTTTCACACTAATGTTGTATGCGTCCCTGTTTTGCGGTGCATTTGCCCACACCTTACCAACACCTCTCAACCAAGGATCGGACATAACCTTGATTTTACTACCATCACCAATCCTCCATCTACAGCCAAGATCTAATACACAACTGGATTTCCACAAACTCCTCCACAAGATTAACATTAAAGAAGGAAGATGTTGGGAAGTGTCTTGCTTTAAAAATTCTAGCAACCATATTTGGCTTAGTCATAATATGGCACCCCTGCTTTGCTACCATTGCCATATTGAAGGCTCTAAAGTATTGAAATCCAAGTCCACCTTTATTCTTAGTGCAAGCCACATTATCCCTTTGTTGTTATTGCCTCCCCCCACCAAAATGAATTCAATATTTTTTTTTAATCTAGAATAACATAAATACTCATGATGTAGGATGGTATTGTTTGAAACACTGACTTTATCATGACCTCCTTCCCTGCTTTAGATAACAGTCGGCCTCTCCAAAAGTCAATTTTCCTCCATATATGATCCTTGACGATGGCAAATGTCTCTTTCCAACTCCTACCAACCATGGACGGTAAACTCAAATAACTTCTCGTACCTAACACACCCAACACTCATAATTCTAGACAGATTCTCCTGAGCTGAATAACGCTTATGATTTAGTCATGTTGATTTCCGGTCCCCAAGCTTCTTCATAAATACAGACAATTTCTATAAATTGCTTGACTTCCGCAATAGTGACGTCAACAGATGAAATACCACTAGTGCACCTCTACATATCCTCACTCCATGTATTTTTCCTCTAGAAACTGCTTTTCTCATGAGTGTGGACAATCCTTCTATTATCATAATGAAAATGATGACATGGAGTCTTCTTGTCTCAATCCTTTTTCATATTGAATTGATTTCACTTTGTCTCAACTAATTACAACTGAGGAGTGCATCGAGGCTACACATATTATCACCCAATGAAAGACTAAATTTAAAAGGAAAAGAAAATGTATTTTTTAAGATTCTTTTAACATACATAATTCAATCGTTTATAAGGAATCCTATAACATCACTATTCTAATTAACTAGATATGTAACCAAAACAAAAAATTCCATCCTCAGTTCATTTTGAATTATGCATATTTAGTAAAATAATAATTAATTATGTTGGTTAAAATAAAAAATTATATTTTATTTGTTAAAAAAATATATTAATTATAACTGAAATACAATAAATTTAAATATATTGGTGAAAAGATAACCAAATCTTATAACAGTAATCTAAAATTTAATTTTAAAAAGATTGATCATACACTATATGTATTTATCACCAACCGTATAAAAGTTTAAAAATATCTTTATCTAAAAGCCATCGAGACACTCAAAACTCTAGTTATTTGTATAGAAATTATAGTTACCCCAAAATTTACAACAAAACCGTATATTCATTCTATACCTATTACCACCTATTTTTTTATTTTATTTACTATTTTATAAAAATTGGAATGTGTGCTGCATGAAAATTAATGCTGAGGAAGTATGGTGTAATAATAGCACAATTTTGGTGTAATAATAGCACTCCTCTTATTTAAAAGCTATATTCAACTCATTACATTTTTTAGAGAGCGTATCCAAAAAGCATATTTACACTCATCAGTCCTAAAAGATAACTTCGAAACGCTGTCGATACCTTCCAAACACACCCAAACAAAACCAATTAGAAATAAAAATACACCCAAAAGATAACTTCCAAAAAAAAGGATAATTTCAAGTTTTTTAAAAAGGACATCTTCAAATTTTTATGCTTTATGAAAAATAGTGTGTACTAATGAAGTTGTGGTTTTTATTATCAAAAATAGAGGCCGACTAATTGAAACGATTACCATAATTAAAAAATAAAATCATTTCAAAACAGCCCTTAATTATTAATTTAGAAATTAACCAAGCATCTTAAGATGGACAAAACAATTTTGGTTTGAAACAATACATTTAGGCATATGTAAAATGTAGAATAGGATTTAATTAAAATTGTAAAATGTAGAATGGGATTTAATTAAAATTGTAAAATGTAGAATATGATAAGGAAATGAAAATCAAACTAGTACTCATTCGGTTACTTTCTAAGTACCAGGTTCAAAAACATCAATATTCTTGCCTCGTTCTATAATATATATGGACATAAATAAAAATGGTAACTATGGCTAACTCTTATGTATGCAAAAAAAAAATTGCTACTCAGTACTGAGATTCTCCAATCACTGATTTAATATAGCGACTATAGCCATTTACAGAATTGAATAACCTTGGGTATTTTCAGCCGTACTTAAGAATCAAATTCAGATCATTTCAGTCTAAGTAGCTTTCTCAACTACCACTCTGTACATCAAAACCTTTCCCTACGCCAGATACTTGAAGGTGTTTGGGTTATCTTTGTCCCTCTCCAGATAGTCCCGAGTGATGAGATCTTCAATCCGCTTCTTGATTGCTTTGATATCAGGCTACATATTCAATTCCAAATATCACAAATTAAAATGTGAAGAAAATACTTTGGCTATACAGAAATGAAGGTTCTGCATCAAAATCATATTTACATTGACAACAGAATTAACTAAAGCAAGTATTTTACCTTGAACATGCGGCCCAACTGCTCAACACACTCCGAAACTAATTGTTGATGGCCCAAAACTTTCCTACTCTTCATAATACGCACAATTGAAGCATCAATAGCATATCGCCTGTCTTTGTCAACATCTTCAATAACCTTCTTCCTTTCATCAACAGGTGGCAGAGGGATCTAAGGCCAACAAAAATTCAGATTTTTATTAACGGGAAAAAGAATTGAACCTGGCTAACAAAGTTTCTAAATCTAACTACAGTTGAAAGTAAATACAAACCTTTATCCTTCTCATTTTATCAGTAAATTTGGAATTGAACTCAAAGGTGTCATTTGGGGATATAGTTTTAGTGTTAGGCTGCTTAACAAGTATCTTATATTTTGCGCATGCCAGAGAATGAAGTAATCTCACTACATCATCGTGAGTCAAATTCAGCTGAGTCATAATCTCTGAATAATTCAACTTATCCGCAGTGTTGAATAGTAGCAGGGCAGCAGCCTGTAAGACAATTTTCAAAATATTTTTGTCACAATAATCAGCATAACAGAAAAGGATGAGTCTTTGAAAGAGAATTACCTGATAGGTTGAGACAATTAACTCAATGGTTTTTGGCTCAAACCTACCAATGATGTTGCAAGTTCCCAGTGAGTAAATCCATGAAAGTTTTCTATGTTTTGTCCTTGTTTCATAAAAGCCCTTAAAAACTTCCACACACTTCACCTGAAACAAACAATTGACCTTAATTAGAGTGTCAATTAAATTTGTCTTCATCAGAAAAACACTAACGGAAACTTAAATAACTACTATCGGCAGCATGCTCCTACCATTTCTGAAGGGAGGTTGAGATCAAAAGATTTATAACTCGGCCAAAATCCTGTGGTAAGAACTGTAACTGTCAAGTCAATTCCAGGATTTAGATGTGAATTCTCACTAAGGTATTCCTGAAATTTCATCTGATGGTCCCTAGCCAATGTCAAGTCTACCACCTGAAATTGCATATTTAGAGTATATCCTCAAATTCAAAAACTGAAAAGAAAAAAAAAATACACCAAAAATTAGTTAGCCTGGAAACAAAGCCAACTAACCATTCCCTCCATCTTTGATGTGAACTGGCCACCACATTGCTGCTTTAACTTTGTCAAAATACACTTCTCATGTTCATCATTGGCACTTCTGTCAAAAAGTAATCTTCGGGCAAGCTTCTTCCTGTAAATATAAAATTATTCAGAACAAGTTCACAAAATAACAAGAAACCTAAACCATACAAGAAATGTGAGTTTAAAATCTGACCTGTAAAATTCTGCAAATAGATCCTTGTCACTGATGTATGCAAGCAGCTTGACTATCTGCAAAAATTAAATTTAATCAGCACAAAGCCATACTGATGCAAAATCTGAAAAAGAAAACCTAACTAATCAAAAGCTACCTTCTCGAGTGTTTCTTCAATGGCTTCATCACTCATCTTCTCACTTCCACCCTTTTTAAGGATATTATCACAGAATGAAGATAATAGCTCTGCACTGGAACTACCGGCAACAGTTTTATTGCAGAATACCTCAAATGCTTCCTTCAATGCCTGGAAAATAAATAGATTCAGACAAAAGACATGATTTCCTGAAAAAAATTCTTTCATTTGAGGTGAACTCCCCAATGATTGTGACACATGGACTTCTGGAATGAAATACATTACAAATATTGGCAAGAAAACAAGGACACGGTACATATGAAATTTACGAACTTCCAAACTAAGAACAAGTCATTCTGGCAGAAACAAACCCTAGTTATGTTCCTGCCCCGTCTTCCCCTTCTATATATCCCTCGGTAAATGATTCCTATATTTACAATTTCTATAACCAACTCCTCTCCCTTTCACATTCTTCCCCACACCCCACTGTTACACCAACTATATAAACCCAACAATTCTAGGCTCATCACTTTAGATTACCAATTGGACTATAGTTAGTGAGAGGCCAAAATGAATATACAAGTCATCTATTGTTTAGTATGTTATTCAAAGAAGCATCTACATACCTTGTGGAACAGAGTGTGATTCATAAAGCAATTAATAACGTATGTCATATACTTGTCATGGAGCTCTATCAGTCTTCTGACAAGGACCTGCAATTTAACATTATTAACCTTCAGACCTTTTCTAGCTATGGTAACAATAAAATATAAAAAAATAATAATGATTGTGGGGACTTGCTTGATCTTGAATGCCAGAACCGCTTGTAGTTTTCTGGAGAGAATAAAAACAAAAAGTTGTCAGCAATTAGAAACAATCAACAGATTTGAACAAATTTAGATGCACTAATGTCATTAGAAATAACACGTGGTAAATTGCAAGACTTCTTACCAGTGTAGAAGGAAATACCACAGTAACACTTTGTTACATCAATAAATAATCATGTCAACATTTAAAATTCTGATTCTATCTTGATTGAAAATTTGTTACACGTATCTTTAATACTAGTGTATGATCTATTATAACCATGCCATGTCCTAAAATTATTAAAATTGGCAATATCCCTATTATATTGGTGTATCATATTCATGTCACAAGTCATATCTAAACTGAAATGACTGAGTAATAACAGCATGCACAGTTAGAAAACAAAAATAACAACTTCTAAGAAAATAACGACACAAGACAGACAGTTCAAAAATGTAATAGAAAGATATGAATGCATGAGGCAGAGTCTCATACAGTTTTAGGGTTTCATACCCTTTTTTGGCTGGGTTTGGGTCAAGTTTTTTTTCCCCATTCACAAAAAAAAAACTGTCATTTTCTGCTACAGAAAGAAACCAACCACAAGTTAAGCACCAATTAAAATCTGACATGGCACTGCCATTTAACATCACTTGTCACATGTGAAAAAAACTAGCATAGCAAACTTATGGCATGGCTAGCTAAGCCATAAACAATGATCTATCAGCTAACACCATAGCAACCAGTCCACTAAACAATGAGTATGTAACATGAAGCAGAAGATAAAATACTAAAACAGAGAGAATATTCAGGCATGTACTAAACCTGATTGTTAGCACTTTCTTCAGCCAGTTGAACCAAAGCTGTACCCTCATCTGTAATATGCTGCAATCATACAATAATGATAATACAACATTAGAGAAAGACTAAAAACTAAGACAAAATCTAAACACATAGCTTAGGCAATGACGTAAAAAATCCAACCTGCTTGAACACATTGGCAACAGGATCCAGTCCTTTAGGTATTTTATGGTAAAGTCTATACATCCTAGAGAGATCATCCACCTAGAAGTAAAGCAATTCAAAAAGTTAATGAACCAAATATGAATAGATAAACCAACGCATAAGTGCCATTTTGGTAAGAATGCCAAATCACTGTTTTTGCAAATTTGATTTTAAATGGGTATTGTAAAGTAGACTTGCATTTCAATTGCAAGGATATTTTTAAAAATCTATGAAGTCCCACATGCTAAATCTATTTTTTGTAGGTTCAATTTAGGAATAAGGTTAAAGTATTATCAGGGCTCACTATTTAGTATTGATTCTGGATTAGATAAGAGAATACAAGATCGCTTTGCAGCTCAAACATTATGTCATATTATTTAGGGCAATACGACAGAAACAAAGGGGTTTTCTTGACTTTTAAGCAGTGAAAAATCTATACCGAGATTAAACTGACAGAAGACCACGAAACAGAAAAGTAAGATAAAGCAGTCAAATACCTTATCATCTCTAAGCAAGGCACGGCAGCCTGAGTGCTCCTTCTCAAGTAACTGATTAGCACGTATTACGAGCAATTCGTGTTGCACTTTCTATTAAAATCAAAAGAAAAAAAATAAGTGGAGCATAAGTATTTTTCATTTTGATGTTGACTTTTACAGGACAATTTGTGTATGCCTTGAGCTGAAACCACAACATAATATAAGAGAGATTGATATCATCAATAAGGAATATGTGTTATTATAAAATTCAATCACTATTTTGTTAATTATTAGTATTAGTAACATTCACTTTGAATAATACTTCACGATCTCTATAACAAGTCATACAAAATAATCTATTTATCAAAATAAAGATGTATATATTTGCCATATAAAGCATCCTAATCATTTTTACCATGCTAAATGATGTCTATTAAAGTTACACATATAAATGGAGTTGAGCATATGCAATAGTAACATTCACTTTACACACTTCATGTACTCTAATAACTCACATAAAATGGTATATTTGTCAACATAAAGAACTATAATTTTGCTATACAAAGTGTACTAATTATCATCATTGTGAATTAACGATGTCTGCTGCAAATGCACAGATGAACGGATCACGCTTTATCCAATAAAATTTTAAATGAAAACAAGATAAAGTCGCATTTTCACTTACCTCTACCAGTTTCTGCTCGGTACAAGTATGCAAATAATGAGACACTCTATCTCTCTCTCGCTTCAAACAATCCTCAGCCTGTGCAATTTCATAGATAAAAATTGTTAGCACACTAGCAAGTAGAATTATGAAAGTGGTATACAAAGTATTCAAATTATATAGATGTGGATACTTTTGAAGTTGCACATCAAAGTGAAGGGATAGCTGGTGTTTAACATGTGCTAGTGTGAGACATCCTAACATGTGGCTACATTCAATCACTTCAATTTTCCAAAAATTGGTGTGTGTCAAATTTTGTTGTTTGACCACATTAATGTTTTTCAAAATAACTTGTTTGAAATAAAGATATGACGAAACCTTTTAGAAGTTGATATTCACAAAATGTACTATTGGCTAAAAAGATTAGATTAGGCAAATCCTAGTGAGGACTTAGATTTAATAGCTAGTTGTATCTTGTTTGTGTGGATTTGTGGACTCAAATCCACACAAACAAAATACATCTAGCTAACTCCCAAGGCATAATACAAACAGACTAACCTTTAGCATGTAATCTGGGCAGGAGTCAGACTCAATCCAGATTGTAGCCTTACTTCTGTAGTAATTGGCAGTATCCTCAAGCATCTGCACCTCAAAATCCTGTTCATAACGATCCATTTCACCCAGACCGATCTCAACAAATATATCAAGAACATTCTTCAACAATGATCTATCAATTTGTTCGCCCTCACGTTCTTTGTCAATCTGTAACATGAAGTAATGAACCATGGTTATATCATATGGATCATCAGCAACAAAGTCTATCTTCACAATGTAGATTGATGAACTTACCAGAGTAATCACAGCTTTACTAGCATTAGCTCGTACCTCCATGTAAACCTGTTATTAATGAAATTAGGTGCACTAGAATAAATTATTTACAATACATTAAGCAATGATTGATGGAGACAGTAGTATTGCCCATCAGTGCATGGTCGTAAACAGGATTATACCAAGTCTAAGCAATAAAAGACTGACCAAGTCACGGAAGGCAGAAAGCCCAACTACATTGAGTGGATCCAGCGAGCGTCGCGCAACAAAGTAGCGATCAAGATAATGGAAAAAACGCGAAAGCCACCTAACCAAAATCTTATGGTTCAACCATCTCTGCACAAGCTCCCTCAGCATGAATTCATGATGCTTATCTCTTACAGCAGACAAAACCTAAAAATAAAATAAGTAGAATTAAAAGAACAGTATCAGACACAGTAAATCATAATAGACAAACAAAATTCAAACAAAAGTTAAAACAGTAAAGTGAGGGAAAAAACATAAACAGTGGGAAGTTCCCTACCGTTGATCTAATGTAATCCACAAAAACCCCTTTGTATTTGTCATACAGTTCTTGTGAATAGTCATTTGGTGGCTTCTGAGTACACATGTTATAAATGGTTCTGTGACGTTCGACTCAAGGAAAAACAATCAACAAAATCCAAAACTAAGCATAAATAAATAATACAAAGAGTAACGAGGCGACAAACAAAGAACAGTTATTTCTGTAACAGTTACTGAAATCCATTATTATAAGGATACGTATATAACATCATGTATTCCTCTGAACTGAACTGAGATTCTGGTAATCCTTCAAGAATGCTCTTCAATTTTGTAATCCCCTTCTGCATATAGGTCCAACCTTGATCTAAATCAATGGTTTTCCTTTCCGACATGGCTGCAGAAACATCAAACACATTCAAACTATGCATTACACTATCTATCAATAATCAAATATCATTACGAATGTAAGTTTAAAAAGAAAGCACGACTACGTGAATTTCAATACCTAATGCGCATACAAATACTAAACCCTAGCATCACAAAAACAATCGGAGTGATTTCAAACAATGCACATCACGAGTATATCAAATAATAACAAAATAAACATCGAATCATAAACCCTAAACCCTAAGATAACAAATCAAATAACAAGAAAGCGATTATCAACAAGATTGAAGAGTTCGATGGGAGATAGAGAGAGTAGTGCAAACCCTACCTGAAGCGATGAATGAGAACGATCGATGAAGGTGTTGATTCAAAAGCAATAGGGTTTTGGCGGTGAAAAGTGTTTTATGCTTGATATATACCAAGATTCTGAGAAAAGGTTTAAATAATGAAAACCTGAGAAAAGGCTATATAAATAGACGGATTAAGATTGATATATACCAAGATTTTCTCAGCGCATAAATCTCATTAGTTTGTTGAATAGTAGTAGTATATTTTAGGGTTGCTCTTTATATTTATTTTTCTTCTTGCTTAAGGCAAGTGTATATAACAAACCAATTTGATTTGATTACTAAAATAATTTCTCTTTAATTATATATTATATATAATTTAAAATTAATATTTTTATAAATAATAAGTTTTGATTAGTTGGTAGTGAAAAATAATAAATAGATGAATTAAGATTGATATATATATATATATATATATATATATATATATATATATATATATATATATATATATATATATATATATATATTCTTTATTTTTGTGCATAAATTTCATGAGTTTACTATTCTAGCTCTTTATTTTTGTTTTCTTCTTGGTTAAGGCAAGCGTATATAACAAATCAATCTAATTACTAAAATAATTTTATTTTAATTATATCTTATATATTATATTATATATATATATATATAATTTAAAGTTTATATTTCTACAAATAAGTTTTGATTGGTTGGTAGTGAAAAAATAATAAATAAATGAATTGAGATTGATATATATATATATATATATATATATATATATATATATATATATATATATATATATATATATATATATATATATATATATATATATATATATATATATATATATATATATATATATATATAAAGGTTTTCTCTCTATTTTTTACGCTTAAATTTTAATGAATTTGTTAAATTTTACGCGTGAGTATGTATTTTTTTTTTCTTATTATTTAAGAGAAGTGTATATATAATTTTTTTTTAGGCAGTGCATAATAAATCAATTGTAATTGTATAATTTGATCTCTAAAAAGTTCTACTTTAATTATATAATATACATATCATAATATATATAGTTATACTCTTACAAATAATAAGTTTTGATTAGTTGATAATAAAAAAATAATAATAAATATTATTTTTAATTGAGACATTTATTAAAATTGGATTTTGCTTTTTAAAAGTAGCTAAAATAGTTATTATTTTGATGAAGTAAATCACTATTTTAGATCCTGATTAATTTAAAAAGCTTCGAGAACCATAGTTTACTTCTTTACCCAATTCAACAACCACAATTGAAATTATTAAAAATTATTTTTGTTAAAAAACATAACAAAAATATCTATTAATTAAAGTTAAGATGTTCTTAAAACATAAATTTAAAAAATATATATCATACGATTTACAAACAAAAAAAAACTCATCAAAAATTTTGATTTGTATTAATAAAATATATTAATATTCATGTTGCTTAAATAAATTGCATTCAATCAAGTCATGTCAAATAAATATTTATTGAAATATTTTTAAAACAAGTCAATAAAATAAAACAAAACAAATTTTGTTAGTACTAATCTAAAAATGTGTGCGATTTGATTGGATATATGTTTAAATAAAATTACAATGTTTATATATAAATATTAATCTCGTTAGAAAGATGGTATATTACCCAAGAAAAAAAGTCATATTTATTCTTTTATTTCGCTCTCTTTCTCATTGTTTTTTTGTTTTTATTATCTCATGTATTATTTTTTATAACCTCGCATTTAGGAATAAAAAATGGTAAACCGGTCGCATTAGGAAGATTTTTAATTCACACACTCAAATTTATCTATCATACCTTATCGCGAATTAACTTAATTCTTATATTCCTTTCATGGTTGAATTAGACCATTAAATGACTTGTTTTTTACTATTGAACATAAGATAAATAACTTAACCTTGTGTATTAATTAGATGTCATTACATTTTTTTAATAAAATTGGATTTTCATTTTTTTTTTATAAATACTCATGTTGAACTTTGTTACATTTGAGGTTCTCTTATGGGTTTCATTACAAGATTGATCTAAAACTCACTTATAGTCCATAAACTTCTTAGACATTACAAATGATGAGTATTTTTTTCTTAGTACCTTCATTTGAATAATCACTACTCATATTCTCATCAGTTTTCAACTCTTCAGATATCTAATCTAAACTGACAAACCTAACTATCATTTTTCATATACTCCTTTCAACAAACCCAAAATCAAGTGTATCTTCGTCAGTTGATGGATCATTATCAACAAAAATGGCTTCATCCACCTTTTGTTTTTTAGGTCTTTATTTTTTCTTGTTGGAACTTCCTTTGACCTTCTTTTTCTTTTGTCTAGCACTCTTCCTTTTTTTCTTTCTTAAGTTCAATCATTCACTTATACTTCATCAACCTGTTGATCATTTTGGCCAGCAACAAACCCTCTCACTCCTACCAAGATCTCATCAATTCCATCATTTAATACCTGATCATAAGAGTCATCAAACCTACATTTTAATGCAATATCATCACTTTGTTCACTAAGGTCACTCTCAAATAGTTTTTGCATATTGTTTAGGTATCTCAGACAGGGTCTCACTGTCAAGTATCTCAAGCATGGTCTCATTGTCAAGTATCTCAAGCAGGGTGTTAAGTATCTCAAGTTGAGCCTCAATTTATTGTTTAGTGGGTTGGAGAAAAGTTAATACCGGTTGGACATCAACTTTTCTACTACGTCGGGTTGGGAAATAGAGTGGACTATGTATGTGTATACATTTTCATTAATCTTAGACCAATTTAGTAGTTATATTACACCAATGTCATTAACTAGTTCTTTTAATGTACTAGCAAAATCATACCACATTTCAAGTACCTCAGGATACCCCATTTTTTTAACAATTCCCCAAATTTTAAAATAACTCCATCTACCACGACCACACTTCCAATTTGAAATTATCCCTCCTACATATGTACCCCTATCGTCAAACTGTCTCCATGGTGAAAGTTAACATAAAAAACATCCTTTTTGGCAAGAGAGTTGTACGTTGTAGAAATCAATAGAGCTACAATTGACCACATACAAAACCATAGACTTTAATAAAATAACACATGTTCGATATGGAAAATGACACATACCTCAACATTCAATGTTCTGCTTCTACGTTCGTCTCCCTCAAATCCTTCTTTTACTTTTTTTCGATGGTAGCACCCCTCATCCACATTTATGGTTTCATCCCCCTTATTCGTTCGTAACATCTATTTTCCCTTTCTTAATTTGAAATTGTAAGGGTTAAGTTTAGGGATACTACTTAATAATTGTCACAACCTAATTCTTGACCTTAAGATCCCACCCCCTTGTATGTTTCTTACATTTTAGCTTTACTTTTGTGCGTGTGTTTGTTATCACCAACAAGTGTGTGCAGGTGCATAAATTTCGAAGATAAGAGTGTTGGTTCTCTCGATCAGCAATAGTTAATTGTGTTTTGAAAGTCCGGTTATAATTCTGGGTTATGTCATACCCTAAATTTGTCCTACCTCTTTTCAAAATTTTTTTCCATTTTTTAAACTTAATTTCATGCCGTTTAGACACGTGTTCACTCCCGATTGGCGTTTTTTCAAATCTCGACTATTTTTGTCCAGTAGGAATGTGACACGTGGCCTAAGGAGATTTTGGTAAATTTTGTTTCTATTTTCATTTTCTCATTTTTCTTGTCAAATATTAAATTTTTGTTCATATTTTTATTTTTTAATTCAAATAGTTTGTTTTATTACTTTTTTTAGAATTAGAATAGTTATTTATTTATTTATTTAGAATAGATTTTTTTTTTTAATAATTTTTATATAGAATTTTTAATTTAGCCAGAATTTTTTAGAAATATTTTTTTCTTATTTAGAATAAAAATAGATTATTTTTATAGTATAGAATTAATTTGTTTTTAGAATCATTTTAGTATTAGAATTAAATAGATTTTTATTTTATTAAAATAGAATAGAACTAGAAGATGGAATTAGAATTTTAGAATTAATTAGATTTGATTTAGTGTTAAAAATATTTTAGGATTTTAAATTTAATTTAGTAATTTTAGAGATATTTTAGGATTTTAGAATTAAGTTAGTAATGTTGGAGATATTTTAGGATTTAAATAGTTTTTAGATTATTTATTAATTAGGATTTATGGTAATTATTTGTATCATTAAATTAGAATTAATTTGTTTTATTATTAATAGTCAGATTTTATTTAGTTAAATTTTAATAATTTAGATTTTATTTTATTTGTTTATTTAGTTTAGTTTTTTTAGGATTTTGTTTTGATAGTAGTTAGACTTATTTAGGTTTACATAAGTAAATATTAATTATGTTTAGAATTAGTGTTAATAGAATTAATTTATTTTATAGTCAAAATTGTTAGTTTATTTCATTAGTTAAATATATTTTATTGTTAATTATTATTATTAATTTGTTTGATTAGAATTTTAATATTCAACATTTTTTTTAACTATGTTCATTATTAGTTAGTTTTACAGTCAATTTTATTTAATCATCAGCATTTAGTCTTTAATTAGGGATTTAACAAAGCCATTAATCATGCCACGTGTCATTTTCGTAGGGTATAAGACCCTATTCATCACCCCCTTTGCAGAGGGAACCCTAATCCAAAAGGTGACAACCCTAGCCGCCCACA